CCGAGTAGGTCAGTCCCCATCAGCCGTAGTGGTACACGAAGTCATAGCTGCTTGGCTCCTTGGGGATGGGCGGCGGCGCTTCAGGGATCTGGATGTTCTCCAGGTCCAGCAGTCTCAGCTTCATCTCCATGCTCAGCAGTGTGTCCAGGTCACTTTTAGTCAGCTCACTGGACATGTCCTTCCCCAAGAGAGCATTAAGCCCGTCAATCCAGATACAGTACTGTGGAAAAAAAAAAAAGGGTAATTCACAACTCCACGCATAAATGATAGGTTATGTTGAATCTTTCCATCCATGCAACAATTAGATACACTCCTATGCAGATCCAAAATAGGAAACATGGGAGGGAGGTAACCTATGGGAAGAAAACCCAAACAACCAAACCCAACCCCAAAACAGTGCCCACAGAGATTTCCCATGGAAGTCAGAAGCCTAGAGGTAAGTGTGACCCTATGGCTCTGGGAGAGGGCCAAGGTTTTCTATTGTGGCACAACAACAGAAAAAGCAAAGCTATTTTAGGCATCAGTGTCTTACAGAATGGAAAAAAGGGAACAACTGCACAGGAGGAAGGAAAGTAGCAATGCAGACTAAGGGAAATTAGTGTAGGTTTGTTTTTTTCTTTAAAGAGATAACTGGGGAAAAAAAAAAGGAAGATTCACAGTAAGCATCAGCAACGTTTTCTAAGAATGAACCTGGTGCTCAAGCTTTTAGTAAGAAGCAACAGATTCTTCTTTATCTCTGAAGTTCATTGCTTTATATTCTACTGCTTAACCACTATGTTTCTTACCTCGTATTTATTAGGTGCAATGAAGTTCAAGGTCTCATCAGGATCATATAATATCGAGAAGGCCAATTCTAACACTTCCTGAATGGAAAGGAATATTTCACTCATCAGCTGAACAAAACATCACGGCACCTTCTGCCTGCTAACCCAAGAGAAGCTGCCTTGCTGCAGCTCAATGCACTTTCCCGTATCAGTATTCTGAGCAACTCTGAATAGCCTATAGCACAACCAGACTATGCTCACAGCACCTAGCAATCACAGAATCACAGAATGGTAGGGGTGGGAAGGGACCTCTGTGGGTCATCTAGTCCAACCCTCCTGCCGAAGCAGGGTCACCTACAGTAGGCTGTAGAGGACCTTGTCCAGGCGGGTCTTGAATATCTCCAGAGAAGGAGACTCCACAACC